ATATGTGCTAGTCATTCCCAACTCTAGGGGGCAGTGCTCATCTCCATTTCAAAGCCGAAGAGCCAGAGCTGTCCAACAACGTCTCTGTGGTCATGTGGCCGGCATGACTAAACATCGAAGGCACCTGGAACGCTGTTCCCTTCCCACCAAAGGTGGTTCCTATTTTTCTACTTGCATTTTTACATGCTTTTGAACTGCTAGGTTGGCAGAAGGTGGGACAAGTAACGGGAGCTCACTCCATTACATGGTGCTAGGAATTCGAACCGCTGAACTGGCGACCTTCCTGATCGACAAGCTCACTCAAACTTCCATTTCCCTGAACTTCACTATAGATTTATGGGTGCTCACATCCTAACATTTCAAAGAGTACAAAGAAATTTCAGTAATCCACCTTATTAGAGGTGCTCTGAAGAAGTTACCCCACCTTTTATCACAGAAAAATAAGAGCCGGACCTATAGGTAGTCCTCAACGTATCACCAAAACTGAGCCCAAAATGTCCATTGCTAAGCAAGACAGTTGTTAAGTGAGTTTTGCCCCAGTTTATGACATTTCTTGCCACAGTTGTTAAGTGAATCAGTTGATACAGTCATTAAATGAATCTGCCTTGGCAAGTCAGAAGGCCGGAAAAGGTGATCCCATGACCCCAGGACATTGAAACTATCATAAATGCATGCCAGTTGCCATGGGCGAATAGGCAGCAATACAAATTTAATAATAATTTTAAAAAAAAACAACGAATTTTGATCATGTGACCTTGGAGATGCTGCTATAATCGTGTGAAAAATGGCCATAAGTCACACGTACTCTACAGTGCCCTTGTAATTTGAATGGTCACTGAATGGTTGTAAGTTGAGGACTACATGTACTTAGTTAAGGTGAAAAAGGATCCTCACCTCCTGAGTGGTCTGTATCGGCCTCCGTGGGCCATGGCTGTTCGTGGCTCAGAGGCGGAAAGTCCTCCTTCAGCACGCCATTGCTGTATGGCACCCTGTTTTCCGTTGACATGGAGGAAGGTGGCTTCTGGATCGACGCGGACTTGTTCTCTGAGTCTTTGATGGTGGAGGCATTCAACAGATCCAGGTGTTGTGGAGGTGGAGATGAAGCACTTTTCAAGAGATCCTCGGCACTAGCCCCATCTTCCGAGGTGCAGGCGCTGCACCCAGAGTCTTCCATCACTATGTGACCATCCTCAAACTCCTCCTCGTGGTTCGTAGCTGGTGTCAGGCCGCCAACAGACCGCCTGGTGGGACAACTGGAGTCTCTGAGCCGGTTGTGACTTCGGTTGACCAGTTGGCCGTGAGTCAAACAACTTGAATAGGTAGCATGACGGTTGACGTTCTCCTCCAGGAGGGGAGATACTTCCACAGTAGCAACCTTCTGGCTCACACAGTCACCACCCTGGCTGGATTCTGCTTGGCTAACAACTCCAGTGCACACCTTCTCCCGAGGACTATCCACCCGGCTTGCTATTTGGCATATCCTCTCTGACATATCACTGACCGACCCTGATAATACTTCCTCAGTGGCTGCCCGGATGACATTGGAAATGATTTGAATGGCCACCTGCTCGATCTTCTCCACTTCTTGTTTGTCCAAACTAATGGCTCCTATCCTCTCTTTTTCCAGACCACCCTTATACCCAACTTCTCTGCATCCATTGTGCTTTGACATGCTACCAGTCTTTGAACTGGACGTCATCTCTTCCTCAACCATCTCCGACCTAGCAGGTTCAACACACTTGGTCAGTGTCCCAACTGCAGCCTCTCCTTCGCCACTGTTACTATCGCTTCCTTCTTCCGTTTCAACGCGTTCCTTAGGCATCTCATCAGGAACTTCTTCAGTTATCTTTCTGGAGCAGGCGACGGGGAAAGAATCCATAGAGGTGGATGCAGAATACTGGTCTTCTCTCAAAGGCCTCTCGGATGAACCGATCTGGACCATCCCATCTTTGCTATTGTCCTCCCATTTTTCAGAACCAGGAGTTGCCAACAGCCCTTGGTTGGATGCTTGATTGGAATCGGGCTTCCCTTCATTGACTGTCTTATCCATTTGGGAGTCATCAACTCTTTGTACATCCAGAAGAGAGATCTTGGGCGAAGGGGAACCAAGGACACCTTGAGGCCCCATCACTTCCACTTCTCCACTGTCGTCCTGAAGTGAATCCGGTTGGAGGGTTAGTGTTGCCCCAACGGGAAGGTCTTTTCTCAACGTTTCTAAGCTTTGGGCGCTGTCTTCTGTTAAAGGTGTCGGTCGTTCTTGAAAGGGTGAATCGCTACACTGCCTGACCTGTAGAGGTGGAGAAAGTTCACTGTCCAACTGTCCAGTTTTCCAAGAACTTGGCTCCTTCGGAGGAGAACATTTCTGGCGTTCTTCCAAGCTGGGAAGATCTTGCCTGTCGTGGTTACTGACGCACTCCTTTTTACGTGAAGAAAACCACCACCAGCCGATGAGCGCCAGCACTCCGGGGATGGTGAAGGGCAGGAAATTGCGGAAGCGCAACGCCATTTCATTCACCCTCAGAAATTAAACCTGAAAAAGAAGAGGAGAAAAAAGGACCGTATTAAGACTTCAGTTGTCTAACCATGTTCAGAAAAGGTACGAATTTTTCTCAACGTTGGCAGCTTGAAAAAGATGAAGCACAGCTGGCTGGGGAATTCTGGGAATTGAAGTCCATACAACCTCAAGCTACCAATGTTGAGAAACACTATGTTCTGAGCGAGGCTTCCCAAGAGCATGAAGCAAACTCCTTGTCCCGACAAAAAAACCCTTTTATTAATTTCCTGTGAATTCTGCTCATTCACATCCAGCAAAGTCTTCCAAGGGAGGATTTACAGTCACAGACCTTATCTGGCTCGGAGAGCTGCCAGGCCCATATCTGCAAAACTTGGCAAGGAGTCACGAACCAATTAAGTGAACTAATTGTCTCCTGCAAACTCCACTCCCCTTTTGCTGCTCTTTTATTTCCATTCATCATCCACCTGTGGCCTTACTCCCAAGTCGACCTCTGCTCTTTAG